CTGCATGCTTTTAGGTTAAACAGACAGTGCATGTTTGACAATAACTGAAAATTGCACCTACTTTAGGTTGTATCTGTCTGTGCCAAGATTGTCCTCTCCATATGTTTGCGTGCCAGGGGAGGAGAATTTCTACACATGAGAGTGAAAATGGACCAAAGCATTAAAGGAACCAATATTTTTAGCTTTGCCTGCCTCTCCTGGTCCATTCTTCTAACCATCCATTATCTATGGACTTTTCCTATCCTTTCTTTCCCCCTTCCTATCTGGTAGAGCGGAATTCCTGAGACTTGCCAGGCAGTTAATTGTCAAGTCCTGCAGCGTTGCTGCTACACTGAGAGCCAGTGCACAAAAGTTTCCTAAAGCTGTCACCTTTCTAGATTATAACAATGTCGAGCTCTTGTAGGGGGAAAGGAAGAACCATGTCTCTGGCCTGCACTGGAGCTCAGTCTTTCATACTATCTTTATACAGTACAATGCATAATCCAAACTTACCTTATAGTAGCTGTTTTCTCAGCTACTCCCACTCTGTAGAGCAGGGTCTGCAATGTATAGCCTGCAAGCCAAATTTGTGCCTGTCAGGGCTAAGCAACAAGGAGCTGCACTGCACTGGGGCTGCGCAACTTCGAGCTGTGCCTTTGCCATTTCTGCTTTTCCCCACCCCCCCCACCCAGCTGCAGCATGAATGCAGTTTTTAGTTGGTGGGGATCTGCACCAGGGTCAGGCAGCTGGATGCTGTGTCCGTGCTGCTGCTTCTCCCTGCCTTCTTCCCTGTCCCCTCTCCACCCTGCCTTAAAGCCACAGTGTGGAAGTAGTAGCAGCCCCACCATCTGGAAGCTGCACCCATGTTCCAGCCAGCAAGCAGGGGCCTGGGAGAGGTGAAAGTAGTGCAAGTGCAGCTCCCAGTTGCCTGCCCCAGTGTGGGAACAGGAAAAGCCCCTTGCTACTGATGCGCCATGGAAGCCACCTGGCCCATATTGAACCTGAACCGGGTCATATCAGCCTACAGATTGAGAAAGTTGCTGGCCCCTACCCTGGAGGCCTTTACGTATGGCCTCTCTGAATGATCATAGATTCATAGATGTGAGGGTCGGAAGCGACCTCAATAGGTCATCAAGTCCAACCCTGCATAGGCAGGAAAGAG